CTAAAATGACAATTGACAGATGGCGGTAAATTCAAATTGTAATTTTTAGGAGTAGGTAGTAGTTTTAAATTAAATTTTAAATGATTTCCACATAAATTATTTTATAAAATAAAGTATGGAACTAGTAAGTTCGAAACTTTTATTTTACAAAATAATTTAGGTCGATTATACCAAATTTGAGGAATTAATTTGTTATAAGCAGGGGTCTGATGTGGAGAGTTGGTTCTGCATATTATTATTAAATATATATAAGATATATCAATAAATAATAAAATAGAACATTCTTAAAATATGTTTATTAATAACTTAAATATTATTAGATAAAAATAAATACAAATAATAATACATATTTAACGAATACTTACTTGCAGCAAATATGTATACAATCTCAAATCTTTAAAATACCTATCAATAATTTAAATGTGAAGTAGAGACTAGGATATTACATTTTATTAACACTAAAATAATATATTTTATAAATGTCTTTTAAACCGAGGACAAATGTAATATAGGTATTGTATTAAAAGGTGAATCCTTTTAACTATTCATTCAATGATAAATAGGCATTTGCCTTCCAAATACAGATAGTGGTATTACTCCACTGCTTTGTGTATTACTCTCTTAAGTGAAAAATGATTTCGGAATCTAGTCCAGTGATAAATTGATTATCAATTAGTTGTTATACCCGTTTGTCTTTTTATGATGCAGATGCATGGTGAATCAATAAGTTTTTCTCGAAGTTTTCAACGTAGCACCCACAGGTAGCACCAAAATTATTGCAAAACACAGTAGGAAATAGAAAAGCCAAACATCACAATTTTGCAAATAACTAAGACGAAACTATAAACAGAAACCAAAAGCCAAAGCCAACAAAAAAATCACTAAAATCAGACGGAGAAATGAGACTAACCAAAAACATAAATAAATACACCTCACATCTTTGGTTAAGTTTTTCTTCCATAAAACTTAAAAATGGAGTAAGAAATCAGAATTTCACCACTAGCCCCATCTAGAGTTTGGAGCAAATAGCATAAAAAATGTCAGTTGTCGGTTTTGACCTTGGTCATTCACGTGGAACCTCTATGTGCTTTGTGGTCAATATGGTTGTTTTATGATTTGAAACTAGTCAAATATTTTGCCAATTTATTTTTTTTGTTTGATTTTCTTCATTATATTTTTGCGCGACTAGCAGAACGTTAAATTTCAAAAAGCCCGCGCTAAGCGGCCATATTGAATTTTAGTACCACTCCAATTTGATAGATGGCAGCACATCGACTCAGAATATTACCATTGAGTTTCCCATCTATTCACATTTTAGTAATCTATGACTATACCTATGATTTTGCGGCACTGCAAGAGAAATTCTGCTTACTAACCTTGAGAATAAGAAGAGATGACGCAGATCTCAAATTATTTTTTAAGCTCATTAATTATAAGGACTGCCCTAAATTTCAAGCATGTTGTTGGCAGTTCCAACTAGAAGCACAAGATCAATAAACAGTTTTCATCAGCCCTACATGAGAACTAATACCACAGCTTAACAATACAGCTAAAACACTCTCTTGGCGGCAACGGTTTGCGTCGATTTCGTCGCGCATCGCGTCGCCTTCGAAGGGAAAAGACGGTTTTGGCGTTCAGAAGTGTACTTAGGTAAGGTGTTGAGTCGTGCGTATAATTTCGTTGATTGTATAATTTCGTGGAGCCTATAATTTCGTAGATTTTGTTTGAGTTAAAGGTACTGTTATTATTTTGGTGACTCTTTAGCTGTGAGTAGAATGAATAAAAAAAAAGACATCATTCTGTTTGTGCAGTCAAAAGCTGTTTTAATAAGGGTTATACCTGCAAGAAAACATTCTTTAGTTTTCCCAAGGACCCAAACCGATAAGTACCACATTATAAGAAATTTTCATTGTTAAAAATATAATTTATACAGGGTGTCCCATTAGTGCGTTATTGTTCATTATTTTGTTGTAGACACGCAAGAAAGTTTTAAATAAAAGTTATATGGATTTGAAAAATACCTACATATTTTAAAAATATCTTTGGATATACAGGGTGTCACGTTTTTGCCTGGCAAATTAAAATGTATGTTTTTTAAATGGAACACCTTGTATTTTATTTTATGATGAAATTATTAACACCCTAAATTATTGTAAAGACGAATTGCTACAGAAAATTTTTATCAGGTATGTGTGTGGTTACCTTTTAATAAAAGCCTTGCGGATCCATTCCTGCGATACCTGTCTTAAATATAACAAAGATCACGTTGAAATAGATGATTTTTCTTTTTATTGCTTTTTAAAGGCATATGATAACGCCAATTCAGATACATTTGGAAATCTGCAACTGTCAAATGATGAATTTGTAGAACTAATATTCAATATTGAAAAGATATTTTAAAATAATTTTGAAGAATTGGCTACAAAAAATAACATTTGTACCACACTTTTAGAATTAATTAACCCAATACCCTTTAGTCATCCATGCTAACGTTTTCCAAAAGAATAACTTATTTTATTGTATGTTTAATCTCAATAACTAAAAAATATACTGACAATTAGTTTGACAGAATTGTCATTTATTTAAAATTTTAAAAATAATAGCAGTCGGTTGATCAAAATATGAACGGTGATTGGCGAATTTATTTTTTTTGCAGTGTTCTCACTACCTAGAATGGATATGAAATATATTCGTTCAATTGAAGGCAATAGCATACTTTTTCGTTTTGTAATCTGTGCATAGATATTAGCCAATCTATGCACATACTACAAAACGAAAAAGTATGTTATTGCGTTCAACTACGAATATATTTCATATCCATTTTAGGTAGTAAGAACACTTTAACAAAATTAAATCTACAAATCACAGTTCATATTTTGGTCACCCAACTCCTATTATTTAAAATTTTTTAAATAAGTGACAATTCTGTTAAACTAATTGTCAATATATATTTTAGTTATTGATATTAAATATACATTAAAATTTTTGTGCAGACTCGATAAATAATAGCATTTTTTTTTCTTTTGTGTCCACATTTAAAAAAAAAATAAATTTTAATTAAACTACATGATACTAATTTAATTACGAGTATTAAAACTAAAGTCCTGAAAGTTTCGGTGAAGATGAAGACAGAGCATCTGCCTTCCACGCGAAAAGTCCGGGATCGAATCTAGGCCGAGGACTAATTAATTTTTCATGTTTATTTTATTTTATAAATTAGTCAACTTCGTAAATTATTTTAAAATTAGTTATTTTGTCTAAATAACCTAAAATAATTTTTTAAATTTGTAGATTTTCGTTAGTGGGTCGTAGAAAAAATATACTGACCATATCGAGTAGATTGTTCATATCACAATCAGACGATTGAGTTCTCCGCCTACGACGTCGTGCTCAAACTTCGTCTTTGTGTGATATGGCTATCATATCCACCCTTGTTGAACAAACTACAATTTATTTGTTTTCTTGGTTTAAGTTTTACATCAGAAATAGGAATTAAATTAATTTACTTTTCAAGTTTTCTTGTAAAAATCGATATTACTTTCTCCAAGTACAAATTTAGTACCTACCTAAAATAAGTACTAATTATGTTATATCTTGTAATATTGTAATTCAAATTTCACATTACTATAAAGTTTTAAAATTTCCTACTTCGGTATGGTCAGATAAAAATTGAATATATTATATTAATAAAAACTGTCAAAGTATAACTTCTACAAATCTGTATTTCAAATAATAAGATTACATCTAAATATAACCAATATTGTTAAAACAAAAGCACACATTCTTTATAATTCCAAAATACCATAGAGTTCCCAGACCTCAGTCGAAGCATTCGTTTATCTAGATATAAACCCTTTGCGCGAAGAGTAACACTTGCCAGAGACACGGGGGTACCACTTGATTTGCATCCACGAGCGTGACACAATTCTTTAACAATTGAAGCCCTTGGTGTAAAATGGATCCAAGCCACAATTTGTCGTGAAGTGACTGTTTTAGCTCAAAACATTTGTTAACGAGGATTTTACTAGCCATATATAAATTATTTTACCTCTAATCCGAAAGATGTGCTATTTTTCGTAATATTTATATTTAAATAATTTTTTTAATTATATTTGAAAGATTTAAAACAAATTAAAAATGTAATTTCCCAAAACTTACTTAATATGGCATGTGACCAACCTTATTACGCCAAGGTTTCCAATTTTTTCAATAATAAAAAAATTGTTTAATCCGGGCCCGACTTTTCCCTTGAATCTAACAGAGATAGCACCATTCCGTCTTGCTTGGTTCTCGACCGCCAGATCAAAGACGCCGACACGGAGTTGTGGAGCTGTATTGTATAAGCTGTGCTAATACTGGCCTCAATTCATTCATGCCTAGTTTCACGAAGCGCTAATGCTTGTGCAGATAGTCTAGAATTTGTTAACTCAAGTTTTCTAATTTTTTGAGGGTGTTAAAACTTACTGCGACTTAATTTCTCTAGTCTTAATATTAGTTGTTTTGATTTTGTACATGTTAATATATTTATGATTTTTGAAAATTATTAAACTAAGTTGTTTGCACTATCGATCTCCATAATTTTATGTTATACATTTTTCTAAAATGGACCGTAATGATAAAATTTGAGGAAAAAAGTGTAAAATTTAATTTTTTTAGTTATTTTCGTTGGCAATGAATATATATTAAAAAAAAATGTAGGTATGTGGAAAATGTATATATTTAGTTCATCCTCTAAACATTCACACCGGAAAAAACTTGTAATAGCTACAGGAAAGTCATGTAGTGGACACATCAATTTTTTTTCTTATGGTAATTTAATTTATCAAAATTGTTAGATCATAATAAAATCTTACTGGTATCTATCTACACATTAATAGTAACTGATGTTACTTTAATAACCACTCATATAAAATCTGTGGGGTGGTGTCCCATTGTTTTAAATAACAAAAATGCCATTACTGACACCTACTGTCTCATTTAAAAAAATAAAACAAAGAAAAATTAGTTCCATTATTTATTTGACAGTCTGACTGAGCAAAACAGCAAATAAACCGTCACATTGTAAAAACAACCTAAAACGGATTTTTTCCTTAGTCAAAGAGACCGAAACCCATATCATCATCTTCACTTTCGGACTCCTCCTTCTCTTCCTTTTTGGCTGCAGGAGCTGCAGCTGCTGCCGCTGCGGGTGCAGCAGCCGCAGGAGCGGCGACAGCAGCGAACTTGCTGGGGTCCTAAAAATAATAAAACTGTTATGAAATATCCTACTATTTTGAGTTTGGCTTTTTTTAATTATTATAAACAATGTTCTTTAATAACAATTTTTAGATAAAAAGTACTTTTTTGCCAAACCCTGTATATGACCATTTGCTGTTTATTTTGAATTTTAGGTTAAGTAATTGTAATAAAACTCACCTTGATAAATTCTTTGATAGTCTTAGCTTGTTCAAACTCAACCTCTGTAACAGCGGCGAGGGCCAACAAGTTCTTGAAACCGTTGGCGATGCTGTGTGGAGCAGATGCAACCGTTGGATAACCGATAGACAAACAAACGGCAGCCAAGTTTTGAACTCCGGCCAAAAATTTGGCTTTCAAATCTTCAGGTTTGATGTCCAAAATAGCGGGCGCGAATACGGTACCGGAATCGTAGACTTGTTCGACTTGAAGACCATATGAGAAGGGCGAGATGTTCAACATGTTGAGGAGAGTTGCTTCGGAGGCGCCGACTTTGTCGCCAGGTTTCAAGATGTGGACATCGTTAATGATTTCAATAGTACCTTAAAAAATTATAATTTATAAAGATTAGGAATAATGATACATTTTTATTTTAATAATTTTTTGAATTTAAGGTAAAATTATGGTTAACAATCATATGGTTAGTGTCCTAGTTTAGAAAATATCTGTAATTTTTATTTATATATTATTAGTAAACTTATGGGAAACAGAGTGAATAGGGGCACTGGATGCACAACACAACTTCAATGGTGACTTAATGTTTACAAAATTTTGTTCGAACAAGGAAAATTAAGACAATTTTAATCTATATTGAATACAAAAGGTAAGTGACATATTATCTGAATAAGTATTAATAATGAATTGGAGAAAATAGTTTTGCAAATAACCTATCGGTTTTTACTAATCTGTATTAAGGTAACAAAACCAATAGTTGACACCTCTAAAAAAAAAATATTGCAATAAAAAAAATTATTTTGATCTTAAGTTGAAATTGTGTACTTTAACAAAATTATTAACACCTATAAGAGGTCCTCACTATTTCATAGAGACAGTATAGCTATTTCTTAAACGGTAATAGATAGAAAGTTGGTTAAATTAGACAAAAGTTGCAGTTTTGTGTTCATTAAAATGGTGCCAAGAAACCTTTGATATCTACAGGGAGATTCAAAATAACGGCAAAAAATAAATGAATTTAAAGAAATGACAATTCTCATGTTTTCTTCAATATTTTGAATCTCCTTGTAGATAAAAGTCTTGGAACCATTTTAGTCAGCACAAAACTGCGCAACTTTTGTCTAATTTTACCAACTTTCTATCTTTTATCATTCAAAAAATAGCAATAGAAGTAACGGTAAACTAAGAATAAAATAAACAAAAATATAATGCAAGAAACATTGCAAAAGAATTTAGGAATATGCTAAAGAGACATTAGTAAATAATGTAGTACTTATTGTATACCATTTTATATAGTCTACCAGTTCACCATCATTATTGTATAAAGGGTTGCATACCCTTCGGGTCATCAATCATTTTAAGGTGGTAACACTTTTGGTTTCCTCTGAGAACCATTGGACGCAACAGTTGAGTATGGTGACTTGTTGAGTCTTCTGAACGTCACTTGTTGAGTTTTGGTTAGTTTTAACCGTTACTCAACATCAGCACCAGGAAAATTCTATGGTGACTTTTGTAAACTAAGTATTGTACTCAGTTTTGCAAACTAAGGGAATTTTTAATTTAGAGATTTCTAGTGTTTTTTAACTATTCTAGAAGGATAAAGCTGATTATATGTGATTATAAACTCACATTTCTTAACTTTGAACATGAATTTTGTTGTTTTTTAAATTCTAAAGTTAAACCATGATGAAAAATGTCCGTTATGACTTAGTATATTTTTACATTTACTTAATTTGTAACCGAAAATTATTTTATTTATATCATCACTAGAGGTCACCACGTGTATGTCTAACCGCTGAACCAACTTATATCGTTCAGGTACTTTTAATTGTTGACTTCCACCATATCAGAAACATGTTTTCGGTTTTATTCAACTGTTGCGTCGGCTGAACGCGCCCATTGTTCAAGGGTGGTGTTCAAGTTACCATTTTTAAAATAATTTTGTCTCCTGACGATAGGCAACCATCATTACCCCCAGTGCTGGCACAGTTGCCTATTCTCTTAACCACCGACCTTGGCGGTTTTTCTGGACTCAGCGCGAGTACCTTTTTCCCACCCACACAGAGAGTTGTGCGTTTGTCGACAGGGTGGTCGCTTCTCAACGTTCAGTCAATGAAGGTTGCTTCCCATAAGAAATGTTTACCATTAAAAAGTAAAACCAATGTATATAGGTTTATGTAATTCCATGTGTTAATTTATTGTTGAAGATAAGTAAAGTGTTTTATCGTAGAATAGCGTTTCTTTCCTAAGAAAAAGCACAGGAAATACGAGCAGTTCCCTAAACGAAACTTTTAGGGCCCCTTTAAAGTGTAGTACTACTACAGGTGGTACCCCTTAAATGTTTTATGTAGTCAATCAATGTAAGTGATCTATGTCAATCATTGCATTCCATGTCAGGAAGCTTAAGGTAGAGGTTTGCCAAGAGACCTGTGTTTACACGTGTTGAATTTAAAGTTAAACTTTGTTTTATTTGACAAAATACCGGCCATCCCTACAATCACAATATTTTTTTTTTTTAATTTAGTTGTTGCCATTATTCCCTGTAGTTGACAGATGTACAGCTACCCATCAATTTGGTTGGCATAAGAGGTACACTATAATAGATAAATAATTCATCTACTGTTCAATGGAATGTGCTAGATGACTTTGTCCTATTATAGGTATACCATGTCCCAATATATACCACTTTTTCCCTTTTAATTTTTAAAGGACACAAAATTCAGTAGAAATAAAAATAGACTCTAATAATGAAGATTGTTAGAGAACGTTTTGTAATTTGTGATATAATTTATAGACATTTAAGAGTTCCGGGCATATGACTAGATCATTTAGTAATCTATGGTGAAAATTTAAATAGTCTCCTGTACTTAAGTCAGCTCATATTAATTTCATTTAAAATCCTAGTATAATTGTGATTGGTTACCTGAATATTTAATTTGAAGGCACAGTATCTTAGAAATGTATTTTGCATTTTTTCCACTGCTAGGCAGTGTATATGAAATTATAGAAGCATACTCCAACTGAGGTACAACCATTGTTTGATAAACACTCTTTATGGCTTCTAGAGAGAAATTAAAAGTTATGTAATATTAACCCTAAGCATTGGGATGATTTTATTAAGATTGAATTTGTATGTTCAATAAATCTTAATTGTTCATCTAAAATAACTCCTAAATCTTTGACTGACCTGTTAAAAATAACAGAGGTTGTCAATCATTACCCCGTGAGTTAATCCAAGATAGTGGCTTATCCTTAACGTAATATTGTTATTGGCACTTTTTGTTCCCTTTAAAAAAGCTTATAAAGCAATATTTATTAACATTCAACTGTATGTTATTAAGGTCACACCATTTAACTAAGTTGTCGAGATCATTCTACATGAAGGCTTAATCGTTAGATGAGTAAATTGGTCTATACAACTTTAACTATTAAATTCATCAGAAATGATAATGGAATTTTTCTATAAGCATGGGGGTGTTGTCACATACTTAATATGTTCGAAGTGTAAAACATTTATAAAATCAGGTACAATTTGTCAAAGGATCCATTTTAAAAAATAAAAGAAAATGTTTGAATTTCATTAGCTTTTATAACAACACTTTTTTTTAAATAATAGTCCAGAATTAATTTTTTGTATATAATAATAATAATAATAATACTACTACTACTACTACTATTGATGAGGCAAAAATAGAAAAAAAATATATATATATAATAAGGGTCATTATTTAGAAGGGTGGGGTATTTGGTGGGATAGAAATTGATATACGTACAATTTTTTATTTATGTTGAAAATTGTAATTCGGAATTTCAGAATATTTGTTTTAAAAATGAGATAAACGAGTTTAATTATACTTGATGAACATTTATTTACGATTTATCATCATTTTAGAGAATATAGACAATATTAAATTAAATTTGGCAATCTACCCAAATGAATTTAAAAATTAAGAAAATTTTATGTATATAGAATTCTATACTTAATGATCCAGGAAGCGCTAGCACTTGGACCATTTTGATGAAGTTCTGTACTTATTCTAACAAATGTCGCGATAGATTTGCCTCCAATGAAACGTCCATAAGGTTGTTCTACTATCTTATCTAAATACAATTGATATATTGACCTAGACCACCATCTGTTGGTGAGTAGAAATACTATGTAAATAATTCCTACAGTTTGGTGAGAGCAAAACAGGTACAAGCGTCACTTGTACCCTTTTTATTCCAAACAAAATTCGGTTTCAGCCATTACTTAGTTACGAAAGGTACATGTTATCGACACGCTATTAAAGACTTGGGAGTTTTTTTTCACGTTTTTACAAGGATTTTTTAGTGACCTGAGTATTACTTGTTCCCCTTTATATTTTACAATGAATACTTTATATACAAAAGGTAAGAAAGCTTCAAACTATTATTTTTTTAAGCTGTTCATTCTTAACGCTTTTTTTTTAAGATGCTGATATTGCTGATTCGTATGAAACAAGTGATTACGTCCCTGAAAATGATTCAATGTCGTTTGATGATGAGCCAAGTGCACACAAAATAAATGTACAGGCAACAGAAAGTATAGAGAAAGATCACAAAACGAAATGTGAATAAATGGAAAGGCATTCATTTGTCACAAGAACAAACCTCATCTACCGCGCGAACTGAAACTGTACCTTCTTGTATTATAAAAAAGCCTGTTTAAAGAAAAAAGTGGAAGTTAGTGACAAGTTTCAGTACTTAAATATTTCTCATAAATAAATGTGTTTGCAAAATCTTTTTCCTCAAGGCCTTTGATATTAGTAACAAAAGATTTACTACTGTTTGTAAAAAGAGTAGCACTGTTGGAATTTGTGGAAAAGACAAGAGGGGTCAAGGTCTTAAAAAAAAAAAAATGAATTCAGGAAAACGAAAACTGGTAATTGAACACATTGAAATGTTTCCAAAATATAGGAGTCATTACTCTAGAAATTCAAATTTTAATACTCGTTTACCACCAGAGCTTAGAGCTTAATATTAAAAAATGTACGATTTGTATATTGAAGTCTGTAAGGAAAAAGATTGGATCTTATTAAACAGTCATATTACTGACAATTTTAAACCCAGAGTTTAATTTAGGATTCCACTGACCTAATTCTGATACATGCAGTAAGTGTGATAGTTTTAATGTTATTAAAAATTCTCAGAATGCAGATAAAAGTTAATAATGCAATGGTAATGCAGATGGTTCATCACAGAAAGGCTAAAAAGGCACAAGCTTCAAAACAAAATGACAATTAACTACTTGAGAAGCCAAAATCCGTTTTTAAAAACAAATTTTACTAATTATTCAATTACAAAAATATGTTATGTGCAATATATGTTTTTACTATAAAAATGGTAGATAATGAATGTCGCGGGGTTCCATGCACTTCGCTAAGCAAACTGCAAGGATGGCAGTTAGCGCTGAAATTCTTGCAAGGTCATCACAAGGGGTGATATGACTCGAACTCAAATCTAAATAAAGACTCAACAAATACTTTTGTAATTTGTCTTGATCTGCAACAGGCTTTACCAACTCCACTGAAGTTTTTTACCTAAGGCAACTGTGGACTTACGTCTATATACATAACCTAGTGAAAGGAAAGTCCGACATGTATGTCTTGGATGAAACAGTCGCTTTCCGAGGCTTACAGGAAATTGGGTCGAGGCTGATTCATTATATAACTAATGCAATTCCTGTGGAGGACAGAATAAAAATACTGTTAAGCTTTTCATGTACTTGGTCAAAGATACATGAATCCAAGAATTTCATCATAAGTTTTTGGAACCAGGCCAAACATTTATGGCGTGTGATCAAGATTTTGGTATCATAGAAAAGGTAAAACGAAAGAATCCTCAGGTGTTTGTTCCAGACCATTGGAGACAAGTAATAAAGAGTTCATGCAAAAAAAAATTTCGGTTCATGAAATTGATAAAAAAACTTTTCAGCTTTTTAAAAAAAGACAGAAAAATGTGTTATTAAATGGAGAGAAATTCAATACCTTTGTTTTATAAAGAATTCAGAGACATTCTGCTTTTTTTTATAAAGGTACTTTGGAATCAGAGTTTCCTTTTAACAAATGCTTATGTCCTGCTAAAGCAGATGGAAGACCAAAGTTAACATTAAAGGATGCATTTACACAGTTACACATAGATGATTTAAAAACAAATGAGCTGAAGCGGAAAAATTTGCAGACTCTTTTGGAGTACATTACTCCGGTTTACCATGAATATTATAACAGCATGCAACATAAAAAAAAACTAAAGCCAACAAGGAGGAAACCCAAACTGACGAAGTAACTGTAGTTGAAATAGAATCACAGGATGATGAAGTAGAAGTAGTAGTAGAAGAAGAAGAAGAAGAAGAAGAAAAAGAAGAAAATAATGAAAATGAGAATCTAGACTTTATTTTGTACTCTGATTACGAATATTGTTTATAAGTATTCCTATTTGTATACCAAAGATTTTTTTGAGAACAAAAAATGTTGGTATAAAAAGGGTATAAGTACTTTGTCCACGACCACTTAATAATGAATCAATATTCTACCTCTAAAAGCATATGGTACCCATATATCACGGAGTGAATTATGATAATTCACGCTTTTGTAATTCTGGCACATTCCGGTAGATAACTAAAGATAGGCGATACTTTCCATAACGATATTTTCTAGATCGAAAAAAAAAAAAAAAAAAAAAAAAAAAAAAAATCAATAAATCAAAAAAAAAAAAAAAAAAAAAAAAAAAAAAAATCGAAAAACATTGACAAATCGAAAAATCGATAAAAACGAAAAGTCGAAAAAACAACAGTTAGTTACCTATGTTTAATAAAAACTTTCCATTCTACACTTAACTTTTATTTAATTAAGAAAGGCCATTATTCTCTCGGGTGAATAATGGCTACCATAAATTGCTCGTTTAATAATATACTATTGTCCACGACCACTTAATAATAAATCAATATTCTACCTCCTAACTAAGAGTATATAGTACCCATATATCACGGAGTGAATTATGATACGATATTTTCTAGATCGAAAAATAAAAAAATCGAAAAATAAAAAAAAAAGAATTATTGAAAAAAAATCGAAGAATCGAGAAAAAAAAAAACGATAAAAACGAAAAATCGAAAAAATAACAGTTAGTTACCTATGTTTAATAAAAACTTTCCATTCACACTTAACTTTTATTTAATAAAGAAACCATAATGGTCGTGGACAAAGTATAGTATTAGACTCGCAATTTATGGCCATTATTCACTCGGGTGACTTGCGCCCCTCGCCTACGGCTCGGGACGCAAACGTCACCCTGCGTGAATAATGGCTACCATAAATTGCTCGTTTAATAATATACTATTTTGTAAATTTTAGCACATTCCTGAATAAGTTTTTATTTATCCTGTTATAATGTTAAAATATATCATTCATTTAGGAAATAAAAAATTTCAAATCAACATTCCAGCACTTATTAGGAACTTTCAAATGTTGTTTAATTTTAAATGCAAATATCTCGGAATAATTTAAAATGCATTTATACTCCTTTTATTCTAAGGCCCTCATAATACCAATAATTATTATTCATTTTTTTGTATTTCTTAAATAATTTGTTTATTTAAGAATATTTTGTTAATTTTTTTTTTAAATTATATTTATATAACTTTAACTCGTACGTGTTTAAGGCGTAAAGGGTAGCCAAGAGATCAGAATGAAGCCAGAGTATGTTACAAAAAAAAAGTTCACAGGTTGTTAAGCAACCAGCAATGGCCAAGGCCCCACAGATCAGAGCTTAAAAAAAAGTTAACGGGTTGCTCCAAGCCGTATGTGTCCAGGCCACACACCTTAGGAGAGAGATTAGATTTAAGCCAGAGTATGTTTAAAAAAAGTTACCGGATTGCAAAACAACCCACACTTGCTCCAGGCTGCATGTATTCAGGCTACACAGTGTAACCAAGAGATCAGAGCAAAGCCAGAGTATGTTTGCTGCTGGCCTTACATATTAAATGATTTAATTTAGTAGTTTAATTTTTTTATTTTATATAACATTATTAATGCAAGTAAACCAAAAATAAATGATTTTTGATCACTTCAATTTTTTTATAATCTGGCAATTTATAGAATAACTTCTAATTTAATTAACAACTTGACAACAATTTCATTTAAAGAAACAATTTTTCACATAGAATAAATGTTTTGTGAATATAACCTGTGAAATTTGCACCTATAGATAATAGGATGGACCCGACTTGTATAATGCCTACACTACAAGATTATTTCATTATTTAAGATTTGATAAGTAGGTACCTACTTCTGAAAAATTGTTTTTTTTTTTGTTTTTTAAATTGTAAACCCAAAAATGTTCTAATTTTCAAAATCAAAAGACATTTCATTTATATTTTCCCTGGCCCTGAAAAACATTTTAAAAAGTAAGACATTCTTAACATTGCTTAACCACCCAGCACCATCTTTCCCATAAGTTCGTTAATATTCATTTGCACAAACTTTCAATAGCTTGTTTAGAGTGATTTGTTTCATAAAAAATACGTAAAACTCAAAAAGAGGTCAAACTAAATTTTACCTGTCTTTTAATATGTACAATAACTATTGTGACTTAAAAATAACTCACCCTTTGAGATCTTGGTGGGGATACTCAGAGCCTGGAAGAAAGATGTCTTTTCAGGACCCAATCCGGTGTTTTGTGCAGGAATAACAACAGGCAAAGGAGCAATAGCACCAGCTCTGGCAGGAGCCTTAACTTTGTTTTCCACAAGCTTGTCCCTGATTTCGACCAAGTCGCTTCTGGTGAAGACAAAACCGACATTGCCCTTGATGTGTGGCAAGATTTTTTCCAAAGCGGGATTGCGTTCAAGATGACCTTTAATCGCTTTGCGCATCATGGTATTTTTCCCCATAAGGACCACTGCGCTACCTGCATGAGGACAAACATTTAACACCTTATTTTCATTTATATTTATCACAACTTACCCCGCAATGAAATACGGATTTGCTGCATTTGCTTCGAGCCGACATTGTCAGCGCCCACAATGAAACACTTTGGAAAGTCTTCCAAAAGTTGCTGAAAAGAAAGTGAAATTGTTTTAGTGCCCACAGATAAATAAACTAACAATATTTTTGTTTAAGGATTAAAAATCAGTCAATTTTTTCAACAAACGTCTTCCACATACCAGTGGGTTCAGCTATTTCTAGCTCTAGTATGAGAAGGAAGCCATTAAGATCTGCAATCATCATGTTTAACTAATCTAACCTATAAAAATTATTTGATTGGAAAACATATTTTACTTACGATAAGTTTGGTGAAGTAGTTTGACTTCCAAGTTGCCTTGTCCTCCCTACCCATCTTGTGTTTAGGGACTCTTTATTGAATTTAAGAACTAAAAATAAAAAACACAACCTCACTTTAAAAAAGTATAAATAAATGTTTATAAAATAAAACATATTTAAGCAGAAAAATATGTCTTGTTATCGTTTTATTAAACAGTATTAATATATAATTTGTAATTTTAATTTCAAATCATTAAAAGATGACAAAAATATTTAAAAAAATTAATTAATAAAAGACAACCTACCTCGGCAGAAAACAGACGCAATATGAAAGAGGAAGGAGGAAGAGAAAAGAGAAGTTTGAAGTTTGACTTTGACGTTGTTGATGTTTCGTTCTTTCCGGTTTGTTCTTGTGACAGTTTTAAGAGGGCGCCACAGTAAAAGAACGTTCTTTTGTAGTTTTACTTTGGATCATTACGATCAATTTGTTTTTATAGCGCGCCTTCTACGTTAAAAATTAACAAAGTAGGCCAATCCGTTAACCATAGATTTCTTAGGTCAGTGCACATACTTTGATTTTCTTTTACTCTTCGGAGAATGGTCGCACTGCGCAGCTTTCTGAGTGCCTTTTAAAAGGAGATAGAAAACTCCGCCATTTTGATCCCTTATTACGTGTTGCCTACATCTTGGCGCAATATTTTTAATAGGTGCGTTTTAATCATCCGCTTCTGCTTCGGAATTGTCGGTTTTCTTATTTTAATCTGACAGGTTAAAACGACTATGGTCATCACGATAGGATACAGTTACGCATCAATAAAAATAGAGCAAATATCTCAAAATAGAGAAGAAAAAAGTGTTTTGAGAGTTAAAGCGACTTCTTTTGCCGAGATATTAGATCTTATTGAAAATGGCATTCTTTTAACATTTTGTTTGGATATTTTACACCGAACTAATGATGTAAATAAGGGGCTCTACAAAAAGAGAACATGGATATAAGTACGACATCTAACCTTTTATCTTCATTGGCACAATACTTTCAATATTTAAGAAACGAGTTTGATCAATATGAAGCCAAAGGAATAGCTTTAACTGGCAATGAAAAATACACAGAACGGCGAAGCACTAAAGGGAACCAAATACAGAAGTTATTTTGGATCCTAGAGAGAAAATGAGATTGCAGATTTACCTTCCAATCCTTGACAATCTATAAACAGAAATTATTCATAGATCCGAAGTGTACAAAACATGTTCAGTTCTTTTCGAATTTGTGTTTAATTTTAGAAAATTAAGTGACGAAGCTATAGTATTAAATGCACAAAAATTAAAAGAGACATATATGGAAGACCTAGACGAGCATTTTCCTTAAGAATGCATTCATTTCAAAAGATTCCTAAATGAACTAAACGATGAAATTAAAGTTGAATCTCCCCAAGATTTAGTAAAATTGTTACATAAAAATAAACTTACGTCTTCATTTCCAAATTTAAATGTATGCATCCGAATTTTTTTTCAGAATGGTAACGAATGCCAGTGGGGAGCGTACATTTTCTACTATAATACGGGTGAAAGCGTATCTTCGCAATTCATTTGCACAAGAAAAGTTGAATTCTTTAGCAGTATTATCAATAAATTCAGATGTTTTAAAAACATTAGATACTAACGAAATAATTCAAACTGTTTCAAATTTAAAAGCGAGAAAGCGACTTTAGTAAAAGTAAATAAAACTCCCCTGTATTTTTATACTTACATTCTAACATGTTAATCCACCCATTTTTATGAATCTACGTTAGTTAGGTTCATTTCGACGAGATGCCCAACTTTTCTATCTGCGTGGTAGCTAATAAAGTGCGCAGCGTTAAACGTGTCAATTGAATGATTGTCAATATTTTAGAATATGGGCATTAGCAATATTATTTTTCGTTATTTGTTTATTATTTTTATAGTTTATTTTTACTTAGTTTCAATAGTTCCTTAATGTATTAGTGATAGTACTTATTAAGATAATATTGTAGAATACGAGAATGGCAACTTATGTTTTAGACTGGTATTTTGTTTTCATTCCGTTTTTCTCTGATCTTATTTTTGTCATTTTTGTTTGTTTTATTTTATTATTTTTGTTTGTTTTATTTTATTATTTGTGTTTGCGTACTAGATTTATAGCTGGTTCTGACCATTATAATAATTATGGTTTATTGATGTTGTGACGTTATAAATATAATACTTTTGGATTTTGTAATTTTGTTTTTTTATAATATATAAATTCAGTAATCTAAGATGTATAAATTATTAATAGATAGGGCGGCGATTACAAGTAGCACCGGGCGCAAAAGTACCTTAAACCGGCACTGCTTCTGTGTTAACAAAGCAAGAAGAAATTTTTTTATCGGATTGGATGATAAACATGGCTAAGATGGGATTCCCTGTAACTAAAGACCAGTTAATAGACAGCGTATCCCTATTGGTAAGTCGTTAAATAAGAAACATACCTTTACCAATGGTAGACCTAGCCGACATTGGTTTAAAGGATTTTTAAAAAGGAACATTGTGTTGTGTTGTCTAAACGAATGGCCCAAAATGGCCCAGCAACATGGGCACCGGTTACAGAAACTAGTATAAGAGACTGGTTGAATGAAATACAGGAATATTTTCTTCAGTCTGGCACCAAAATTACTGATCCCCGAAGATTCTTTAATGGTGACGAATCAGCTTTTTTTCTGTGCCCAAAAGTAAATACTGTTTTAGCCAAAAATCGGTCCAAAACGGTTTACAATAGAGTTGGTGGAGATGAAAAGGACTGCTTAACAGTAATGATGACAGGTACCTTTTTAAATAATACACATTCCATTTGTTTTTATAAATAATAGCTAATTCGGGGAGGTGGGTTGGCTCAGTGGTTAGAGTCATGACTTTGAGATCGAAAGGTCTCAGGATCGAATCCCACCGTTGGCCGGGATTTTTTTATTTAATTTAATTATTTAAAATTAATTCTGATGCCTTGGTAGGATTCCCCACTCGACCATTCACTGTTGGGTTCTAATTAACAGTGCTGTTCCTAAAGTGGCGCTGGGAAACAGTAACAAAGCCTACACAGAACACGAGGCTAATGGCCGTAGTAGTCGACGCCGATGACACCAAAATAAAAAAAAAAAAAAAACAAAAATAGCTAATTCGTCTAGGGAACGCTTTTGGTTAGATTGTACCACCTATGGTCATGTTTAGCTATGAGGCGAATAACTAAACATATTGTTCAACAAATACCAGATGGTTGGGGGATTCGAAAGTTTGAAAATGGTTGGATGACTTTCGAGGCGTTTTTTGAGTACATAGCTAATGTATATTATTCTTGGCTGGTTAAAAAAGAGATACAATTTCCTGTTATCTTGTATTTGGATAGTCGCAAGTCGCACATAACAATCCCTTGAGTGATTTTTGCACAGAAAAATCTATAACTTTGATAAGTTTACTACCGAATTGAACCCATATATTGCAGCCATTGGATGTGCGTTTATTTAGATCATTAAACATAGACTGGGAAATGCAATTTCCAATTGGCGAACTCATCATAAGAAAAAATTCTTAAAAAGAGAAAATTTTGTCCCTGTTCTTAAAATCGCTTTAGATAATATCAACAATTTAAAAGACATTTTTGCTAATGCATTTAAAACGTGTGGTCTTTTTTCATTTAATGTGAATAACGTGAACTACACAAAGGTGCTGAATAATAATTATGACGGAGCGGAAAGTAATCAAGATAAAAAAAGAACGAAAATGCTGAAATTATTGGACATCTACGATTTTTACAAAGTCATATTTCTGTGGAGAGAGTCGGTCACTTTTACAATCTCCCAGGAGCAAACTGGAACGGAAATGATTGTGACCAAAATTTATACAACACTTGGTTACAGATTTATCTAGAAAGTGGGCTACAATTTCAAATGGAAGAAAAAATAGTAGAAAACGTGGTGATAGACGTTTTAGATGAAGGGTGGGATGTCCTTTTAACTGATGAAATAGATGTACCAGCAAATGACTTGAACAGTGAAGAAGAAATTGCTATTAAAGAAACCAATGAGAATACTCGTAAATTTATTAAAATTCTAGAGGATATTCGTATACATCCATTAGATATTAATATTGCTGTACAAGGAGAAAACTCTAATAATATTACTGCTACTCGAACCATTTGTATCAATAATGAAAATATACTTCCAGAAATGATTGAGTCTTTCTCTCAAAATTCTAATAAGGATAAGGAAAATATACATACAGAAATAATTGAGTCCACCTCTCAAAATCTCAGTGCTATCATTATTGAAACTACTCCTCCAAGTAGAACTGAGGATAATAACAGAAATAAAACAACAAAATTAATACCGGTTAACATTCCAACTCCTTTTAAGAAAGCATTGTTTTGGCCTGACGAAAGTTCAGTTAGCAAAGGAAATAAGAGAAAAAAAGAAAAAATTTCAGCGGTGACCACTTCCGATTAATGGAAGGAGTATTATACAAAAAAAGAAGAAAAACTACTACAAGAAGAACTAAAGGAAAGACGAAAAAAAAAAAAAAAAAACAAAGAGAATAAAATAAAATTAAACGAGAAAGCAAACACCTGCAGAAAAGGATCAAGAAGGAGATTGTAGAAGAAAAATTAGAGAATGAAGACAATAAAAAAGAAGCGATACAAGTAGGAGATTATGTAATAGTAAATTTTGAAGAAATATATTTTCCAGTTGTTTTAAAGAAAATTAAAAATAAAAACTGGCGTTTAAAGTACAATGACGTCAAATGGTGTAAATAAATGGAAATGGCCACAAGAAGTTGATAAAATTTGGTATGATTATGACGAAATTGTTGATAAAATTGAGGTTCCATTAGAAGTCAACAACAGAGGTGATTTTAAAGTTCCCGAAATAAAAAAGTTTCGAGAATATACAGCATAATTTTTTGTAACTAAATTATTCTTATTAAAAAAAATTAAATCATGGTTCCGTACTTACCTGTTCTTCTTTAAAACATAAAATTTAGCACATCGAAAATAGGTACCTGACTCTGTCGAATTTAAGTCAGTACATGGGAGTTCTATGTCGAATTTAGGTTCAGATGCAGTTTTACAGAAATACTCCTTTTTTTTATTTCATCTTCAAAATTGAGGAAATATAAAATAAATACATAATTTTTAATAGATCACTGAATGTGTATGTGATTTTTAACTCAACGAAACGTCCAAAACAAAATAATGCAGTTCAATACTTTAGCAAAATTGCTAAAACTGTCTGATTTAGGTACATTTACCTTACTTGCCCAACAAGGTTAGATTAAATATTTCCTTCAAAGTTTCATTTTACATCAGCAGTCTGTTACACTGTTGGAATGAAAATCCGATTCTCGTGGTTCTTCAAGCTCGCTTACGCTCACGTTCAGAATCTTCCACTCGTATTGAATTTTCATTTCCAATCTTATTTGTTACAGAATAAACTATTTTCACATTGATACATTTTATTATCCACGTTTATTTTAAAATGAAAAAAGAAATATTGCAACTCATTTATTATTTTCAAATCATTTATTTATACAATTTTACCTTGCTTATTTTATTACAAAAAATACAATAACTATCAATGTCTTACCATTAAATTACTACCCTATCACTCTAGAATATTTTCCAAGTTACAAAAAAATGTGTTTCTTATTTTAAAACACGAAGGTTTGTCGGACAAAAATAAGTGATGAAAATTTTGAATGTCTTTCGTCTACCTTTTGTATTGCATGGCCAATACAAAAGCATATATTTCCAAACTGTTTACTAATTTATTATTTATTAAGAAGAAAAAGCATAAGTGTATGTCTATATATACCTCATCTGTACCTATAGATTATGTGATTTCTTCTTAACGGGGCAGTTTTACATTGTAACCTATTTTGCTGATCATTATTATATTTTTTGAACAGTATTACAACAATGTTTCAACAAATTTCTATATTTATAATAAGCATCCATTTTACATATATTGTAATTAAAAATTAATTAAAACTAAATATTTTGATAAGAAAACACATTTATTTTTAAATAAATAAATAAATTCACAATAAAATAAAAGCTATTTTTATATATGCTACTGTTTTTTAAAAATAAATTCCTACATTTAAATATTTTACACTTCGTTGTAGTATCCACGAGCCCCTTGGAAAAATCCCCTTTTGCCGAGATTCATCAGCATCTGTCTGTTACGCGTAGCGCCCTCTTTTGCCTTTTTTCTCGCGATTTCCAACAACAATCTATTGCGCAACACATCTAACGAGTTGACAATTGAAAGGGAACCTCCTGCTTCGCCGATGCGACTATTTCCTGCTCGTTTGATTCGTATTTCCGGGTGTTGCATCTAAAAAAGAAACAATAAATTAATACTATGTGTATATTAGTTTCCATTTGAAACTTTAGATCCTTGTTCGTGAAAAATTGTTAAACATGGTGTTCCTCAAGAATCATTTTTCGGAAGTCTATTTTAACCAACTTCAAAAAAGGAGGAGGGTCTCAATTCGTCGCAATATTTTTTTTATGTATGTTCAGCGATAATTCTTCAACATGGTGTCCGATTTTAATAATTCTTTATTTTTTAGAAAGGGGGTACTTCAGGGGTGGTGGTCCCATATAAATTTGGTCAAAATCTAATAATTTGGTCCATGAGAAAATCCTCAAACTCTTCAATTTTTATGAATGTTAAACGATAATGCTTTACCACCTTGTCCTATTTATACGATTCTTTTTTGTTAGTAAGGGGGTACCTCAGGGGTAGCCTAATATAAATTTGGTTAAGATGTGGTGATAGCATCTGCACGTTTTTGAAGTCTCTTTTTTTTAATTTTTAATTTCTAATACTTAATCGTTTATGTGTACTTCTACACGCCCTCATAATAGTTTGGCTCACATTTGAATTTTGAGATCTACATAAATTTCTACATAACTAATTTTTCGTATCTCAAATGGTTGTCGATATACTAACTAAAAAATCTGATTTTCCTATTAAAATCCCCCAAAATTCTATCTAAAATCCTATTCTTTACCCTTACCACAGAGGATGTAAGTACAGAGCGTAAACTTGGTGTGGAGGGGGTAAGTACGCGCAACTACGGCGCGCATCGCAATCGGCCATGTTCTAATTATAACTCAGCTGCGTTACATGTAGTAGAGCTTAACACTATTCATTTTTATGTGCGAACTGGCAGTGGCAGCGTGTGTTCTCTTGACTTGTGTACTTGTAAAGTTTGTTATTATTATATTGTAAGTTTATTTGTTGTAACTCGATAAACAATGAGCAATATTAAAGGTGGATTGGTTTGTGCAGCAAGAAATTGTCCAAACAAGACGGACAACTGCAAGTTGAGCTTTTTCGGTTTTCTTAAGGACGAAAGAAGGTAAGTTGAAAAAAAATTCTTAAGATTGCTTCAGTTAAAATGTAAAATGATCGGATATTATAAATTTTGATACTATCTGTAGAATTTTTAATGTAGGTCCACATTTATTTTTTTGTAGAAATATAGTGCATTTTACTATGTTTCTTCACTACAAAATCAATCATGAAAAAATAGCAGAATGAAGGAAAACATTGAAAGTATCCGTAAAAATAATTTTTATTTTGAATAATACAATTTTGCCATAATATATCCGATTTTTATTTTTTTTTTCAATTTGTAGCCAATTGTTAGCTCTACAATTTGTATAAAAAAAATTATTTTTTAAGGCATAATACGTTCATTTGTAATTTTTCATTTAAAGCTTTCTGTTTAAAAAATCTAAAATATTTTCTATAAAAATTGTAAAGAACATATTTCTCTATAACACCCTTAAAATCGGGTAAAAGATTGGAATATTTAAAATAAAAATAAATTTTTACAGTTACTGTCATTTTTTTCTTCATTCTGCCAACTTTTTTTGGGGACTATAGTGCAGAAACATGGTAAAATATACAATATTTCTACCAAAAAATATTCATGCACATATATTTAAAATTGTGCAAATGGTTTCAAAATTTACAATTTTCAGGAGTTCGACCTTTTTATAGAAGCAATAGCTCTTAATAGAAAAATTATCTCGTTCAGAACGGTGAATTGAAAATATAATAAAATACTTTACTAGGTAGTTACTTATTGTAAGAGTATTTATATTTATGTACTATATCAAGAGTTATTTATTCTTATAGATTATTCTCAAGTAGCTTTATTCCACTCGTGGATAATAGCTCACTTTATTCACTGAAATAAGCATAATAAAATGACTCTAACTTATATATGGGGAAAATATATTAAATACTTATTTGTAAACACTTAATGAGTAATTTATTTATCAAGAGATGAATAAAATGTAGGTACTTATCAACTTATTATTGTTTATGGTGGATTTATGTACCTGTCATTTTTTATTTTATTCTAGTGTTCTACAGTTGGTCAGTTGACCTATTTATTCCTAAAATACCTACTAGAATTATATAAAAATGTACACAAATCTAGCTTTATTCTCAAAATATAATAATTTTATTTTGCCCTTAGAAAGTTTATACCTACTGTTGCTATTTATTACTAAATGGGTTTTGTCCATATTATTATTTTCTTGGAAAACTCATTACTGAATTTAAAATTATCCTTTATTTGGAGACTAATTATCAAAATTAAGTATTGGATATTAGAGTAGGTATAAGGAGACAAAAGATTTATTTTAAACTGCTTGTAAATAATTTATTCCAAAAAGGCCAAGGAAATTTAGAAAGTTATAAGTAGATTCAATTGATTTTAATTCTAAATCAACTTTTCCTAATTTTTCCAAATTATATTTTAGGGTTAGAATATATTTTTCTATAAAAAATATTAATAGAAATTTGAAAGACGTGGATATTAACGCTAAATTGTTAATATTGAAAAACCAATAAAAAAAAATTTTCTACTCCCATATCAGTAAACGTTAAAAGTCGTAGTGTCAACATTCCTTGTAAATGACATTTAACAATAACATGCACGTAATGAGATCTCATAACATGCACGTGCTTTTTGATAAAAAAAAAAACTTAAATTTCTTAGTTTAATTAAATTGCAATCAAATTTTTATCTACGTAAGACTTTAGTTGGTTCATTTACATAAATTTAGTCAATTTAAAAACATAACAACTTTTAGCAATAGCGAGATACATTTTGGATTAAAAAAATTATGCCCCTAAATGTCGGCAATACATTATACTAAATATTGTATTTGAACATTTTCTTAACTCAACCTATGAATATATCTGTTAGTAGTGAAAGTGATTTTAGAAATAGCTCAAGCTGCCATACATAATTTGCTACCGCTAAAATCCAAAAAAAGGTACGAATTTACCCATCGAAAATTTATGGATTAGCGACACAAGCATATGTTCTTTATTTAATAGAAGAAAATAAGTGGGCGTAGAAAAAGTATAGTACGTTACACGAGTTGTAAGCCCATTACGCACTTGTAAAATTTAGCCACTCGCCGCTGCGCGGCTTGGTGCGTAATCTTTTTCACTTCGTGCGTAATGGGTTACTTACAACTCTTGTTACGTAATATACTATTATATTTCATTGTGTGTTTCTTTATGTATTCCAAATATTTGTATACTTACATGGACAGCTTAGTATATAAAATATCATTTATTAAAAATCTACACCAGAATATATTTATGACCGATGTAAATCCAAGTTCAGGTCATTTTTGTCCTGAATAACTGGATCTAGGCAAAATATTTTTATACTACTCATAGTTCTATAAATTTGTTTATACAATTTTAAACTATCACAAGAATGGATTTTACTATACACGCGACTTTATTTCCAGACATTATTTTTTAAATCCTGATATATATTTTCATTACACCCTGTAAAACAACTCGTACCTGATTTTAGTTATAATTCAAATTAAAAAATAAAATAAAATTCAAAACACCACATCCTTACCAAAATGAATTTCTTGAGTACGGATCTTCCCATTGGTAACATAATTATCAAAATGCGGGCCTGACTTCTATAATTTGAACATGGCCGCCGGTGACTTAGCGAGATCAATCGTGCCGACACCGAGTTTGTTCTCTGTACTTACATCCTCTGTGCCCTTACGAATAATTGTTTCGTGATTTATCTACACATATAGCGAGGCGTATACACCTGCAGATGCAAAGGGAGTACAATCATCGTTATTTTACTGCCGATTCACCTAGGAAAATTTTTTAATTAATACGACGTGTCCTGGGGAACTAGAATCCCCAAATAGTCTTACTGGCTATGCCGACAGTAAATTAAGAATGGTTCTAATTAATATTCGATCAATACGGAATAAGACTGATGAATTGTATTTGTTTTTGGAAGAGTTAGGGTTTCCCCAAATAGTTGCTATTACAGAACACTGGTTACAAGTTGGTGAACCAGTTTTTGTCGAAAAATATACTATCGTCAGCAGATATGATAGAAGTAATACAGACCATGGTGGAACTCTAATTTTATCCTTAGACAAGGACTTTTCTGCTGTATCTAAATACGACTTTCTACAAGCTGAAAATTTCTTCGAATTTTCCATTGTAAACAACAAAAACATTGATTTGTTTATTATTTGTATTTATAGAACACCTAAATCAAATGTTCACCTCTTTCTAGAGAATCTTCTTATTCTACTTGACGCATTGCCTATAAAAAGTAAGAAAATTTTATGCGGCGATTTTAATATTGACTTTGCTAATGTATGTGCTACTTAAAAGTCTTTGATCAATATTTTTGAATCATTCAGTCTCACTATGCACGTAAATTCTCCAACTAGAATCACAGAAACAACATCTACAATTATAGATTACGTAGTCTCTGATTTTAAACCCGTTGATGTAGAGCACCAAGTAATTAGCTCAGGTCTCTCAGACCACGAAGCAGTATTTGCCAAATTTTTGATACCCCGTACAGCTCCAAAAAAAGTCCGTCAGCTAGGTAGAATTTTCTCTAAGCATAATTTCAAAAATTTCTATAATTTATGTCTAACTACTGATTGGAATGGTCTTTCTGAAGATATTGACTCTAAATTTTTAGAATTCTTAAATAAAATAATTATGTGTTTCAATACAGCTTTCCCCCTTCGCCCCATTAAAACTAAATGTCATAAATCTTGGACAACTAAAGGAATAAGAACATCATCTAAAAATATGAGGTCACTCATGTATATTAAAAAGTACACAGATAATCCCCTAATATTAAACTATATCAACAACTACAGAATATTGTATCGGAAAATCACCAAATCTGCTAAGAAAAACTATTACAAAAATCGCATCGCAAGAGCTAAAAACTCCTCCAAAGAAACCTGGTCTATAATAAATGACTTAAGGAATAAAACCCGTTC